GTATGTGCAGATGAGGAAAAGAAAGCCTGGGACACTCTGACATTTGGAGGACAGGGAGACACAGAAGGGTCATCAGAGAAGGCTGAGAAAGAGCAGCCAATGAGATAAATGGAGAACTGAGAGAGTGGTGGTCCAGAAGCCATGTGAGAATTTTATCAGGAAGGAGGGGTAATTTGATGGGGGCTGATAGAGGAATTAATATGAAGATGGAGAATGTGAACCCAGGATTTATAAATGTAGAATAGACCACTGATCTTGGCAAATGCAAGTATGAAGAAATGCTGATCAGAGTGTATTCACGGGAGACAAGGCTGAGTACCGGAGGGGTAGGGAACAGCAGGGAGTAACGGCTCCTTGAGGACTGGTCCATCATGTGCCAGGCTCTGTGCCAGGAGATAAAAATAGATGGTGAGCCAGACAGGCTGTCGGCCTTTGAGGAGCCCATAGTCCAATGGAAGAGAGAGATGTTTAAATAAATCATTGTAAAATCCATGAGAAGGGATAGAATAGAGGTATGTACAGGGAGCTCTGTGAGCATAGAGGAGAGTGGTAAAGTCCCTCTGAGGCGATGACATTTGAACTTGGGCTATAGTAAGGTCAGGTTTCCAGGTGGGGAGAAGGAGGAAGGGCATTTGTTCTAGAGTTTTCAAGAGCAAAGACCATTTTTCACTCCTTTTATCATAATCTCTAGCTACCACAGCAGATGCTCAGTCTGTATTTGCTGAGTGATTTGTGAATTCCAGTGAAAGGAATTTGCAAGAAACACAGTTGCATAAGAAATCATGACAGTAATTTTGAAAGTGGCAGCAAGGATAGAGGGAGAGACAGTTTAAAGTGCAATTTAGAATGTACTGATCTCTCTGGAAGGAAAGAGGGGTGTTGCAGATCATTTCAACACTCACACTTTTGCTAACTGGGCTGAGTGCAGGTACCTTGTATTAAAATGCTTGGTGTTTGATTGCTGGATTGACCAAATACTATGGCTGTGAGGAATGCTATAGGAGAAGGGTGATTTGAGAGCAGTCGGGGGGCGTAGAATGAGAGTGAGGTTGGAAAAGACACTGGGAGAACTGCCATTAGGTGTTGGACTTGTGGAATAGGAGGGAAGGAGGGAGGGAGGGAGGGAGAGAGAGAGGAGAGAGGAGAGAGAGAGGAGAGAGAGAGAGAGAGAGAGAGAGAGAGAGAGAGAGAGAGAGAGATGACGGGGAGAGAGATACGGAGAGACCTGGAGCAGATATGTGGATTTTAAGTTGCCGGTTTGTAGGTGATATCCCAATGTCTAGAGAGGGAGGACATCTGAGCTGGAATGCCAGGAAATGGCACAGCAGGTGGAAGAAGGGGCACAGAAAAGGAGACTGCAAAAGAGCCCATAGAGATGTGGGGATAGAATGAGAGTGGGTGACTTTGTACTCATGTAGGGAGAAAGTCTTGAAAAGGAAGAAGAATCACCCCCATCAGAGTCTTCACTGAAGACCAGTGGAGTGTGGGATAAGCAGAGGAGGGCACTGGAAATTTGATTGGGCAGACTGGGTGGAAAGATGCAGGCTGATTAAACCAGATGGAGAGGATTGAGGGGTTGGGAAGTGGATGCTAAGGGCAGAAGTAAGGGCTGTGAGGGTGGACGACTCAAGAAGGAGACTCATCATTTTTTGGATGAATATACTGGTGAATGGAAGAAAGGAAAGCATTGGGTGTTTGAGACTTGGGGTAGGAGATTAGTCTTTACTAAATTAGCAAAGACTTAGACACATGTAGGCTCTTTCAATTGAAAGAGAAAAATACAAAAAAGAGAAGGAGTGAAATCTTGGAAGAGGTGAACAGGGTGGAGGACAAGACTATCCTGGAGGAAGCACAGGGTCCTTTTCTCCCTCTAAGAGAGACAGGCAGGCAGACAGGAAGAAGAGTGAGAGAGGCAGGGACTGAAAATGAGGGAGTTCACTCATGATGTCCTCAATTTGGGGAGATAAAGGAAAGAGGAAACAAGGTCACCTGCTGAGACAGGAGAGGGAATGGTGGTGAGCTCAAGGGAAGTGGTGTAGCTTTGGAACCAATCTTACAGAGATTGGAAATACACATGTCCATGAAATGTTAGGCTACATTCCTGCATGGCTCCCAGTGGCCTGATAAAGGCGTGGAGAGGGAGTGGAAATCAGCAGAGTGGAGATGATGGAGAGAAAAGATGTGAGGAATGAGTGTACTGGTGAAAGTGACATTGAAATGACTGACTGTGGAGTATGGGAGGAAAAAGAGAAGGAACACAGGACAAGGCTGATGGACTCAGAGGAGGAGAAAAGTTAGAGGACTGACTGTGCAGAGGGGTATAAGAAGCAGCTTGATTCCAGGTCACCTGCAAAGTGGACCTTCCTTCTGCTTGGGGACCTTGGAACTGCTGCTCACATTTGACAGCTCTGACAGCTGTGTGCACACTGTCACATTGTGTTTGGGAAATCTTTCCTTAGGAGGCCCAGTGGGCCCCTTGAATTCAAATTTCATCTACTGGGAAACACATCCACCTCTCCCTTTGAAGTGCTTCTCCCTAGACCCCCTCAAAGGGAATTTTACAAATGCCATGTGGCCTATATTTTAGGTCAGATAATTTTAATTATTTCCCTCCAATTTGGGGAATATATCTACCCAGGTCATTTTATGGACAAACAGCAATCTAATTTTATATTGTATTGACATTCTCTCATTGTTTTCCATTATTTTGCATGGGGTCTTTTCATTTTCATAATTTGATGACAAGCTAATTGAGCATAACAGTCCCTTACTGTGTATAGCCAATGGAATGCCATGTGGCCTGCTCCTGGCACATGGCAGGGTACTCAATAAATGTTAGCGTAAAGCTGACTTTATCTGCTGAGATCTCGACTAGTGTTTAAACTAAATAAATGCCAAAATTATCATGAATCATGGAAAGCATTTGCTTGAAGAGAAATGACTTATTAAGTAATTTAGCAAAATTTGTTGACTCTACCTGTGCCAAGACCTACACTAAACACTGGGAGTAAAAAGAGACCAACCCCATATTTCTGGCATGAGGGAGCCTGTAGTTATACAGAGGGAACAGGGGTATACACATAATTACAGCACAGTGTGGAAAGGTGTTGGGATATTTGAGAAGGATACGGATACACAGAGTAGAGATAGAATCTCTCAGGCTGGGGTCAGGGAAGGCTTACCAGAGGTGACGATACTTGAATGGAGCCAAGGAAGACCAATGGAATTCCAGCAGACAGAGAGGGGAGAGATGAACAGACTGGGCAGTGAGAAGGGACCATTCAAGGGCATGAACACTGGCGAGCACTGTGGGCTTTCGGGACACCAGGTGAGGTGCCTTTGAGGGTGTGGCAGGAAGTCAGGCCAGAAAGGTAGGTGGGTGCCAGACTGAATGCCAATCTAAAGAATGCCAGCCCCAGCTTCCAAACTTCAGCCACAGAAATATTTAATCAGTGTCACTGAAACACAAGTGAAACAGACAACAGCCCAGCAGGTCTGGTTGGGAGTAGGGAGAACAGAGACCCACTTGTTCAGCTGCTCCTGGATCCCATGCCCTCACCTCTCAAGCACTTGATGTTGTGAGGGAAGGGCTTCAGAGGAAACCCCGAGGATTTTGAGGGGTAATTTGAAAAACACTGCTGTGGTAATTTGGGAAGAAGTGGCTGACTATTAAAAATAAGGGGGAATACGCTCAGGTAGACCAGTGGTTTAGAAAGGTAAGTAGTAGGAGGGCTTTGAACATAGTAGAAGAGAAGAAACACCGTCATAGATGAGAGAGGAATCCAGCCTGGGCTGGCCTGGGACAATGGGTAGGAGTGGAAAGGACATGGGAGATTTGAGAACCCATTAGAGTTCTTGATAGATGGGATCCACACTAATTAGAGACTCGTCCAGGGGACCAACTAGAGAGAGAATCATGGGAAAAAAACCAAAGGCTTTGGGAACCCGTGTCCAGGGCTTGAAGTGGTTGGTGCCACAGACCTAATTATAACAGAGGGAAACTCGGGCAGGACAGAGCTGAAACCATAACCTGTCTTCTGAACTTCCAGGCCTCGTGGGAAAAAATGAGTAGCCACTGATTATCCTGATTTAGGAATTAACTTTATTACACCGCTGGGGTGGAAAAAGGCCAGAGCCAAGCGCTGACAGGGCTGGGGCGGAGCTGGTCCATGCATGCATTGCCGGAGGCACTGTCATTTGGAACAGTGTTTTTGGAATGCGATTTGCATACCAGCGAGTGATTAAAATGTTCAAGCCCTGTGAACTAGTAATTCTACACGTGGGACTTTGCCCTAAGGAAATAGTTCAAAAGAAGAAATAGCCTGGGCTCATCCATCCAAATGTCAAATAATTAATTAAACAATTAATTAGAAAAAAAATACATTGTGCTACGTACATTCCAGGAACTCTGCTAGGCGAATGAATATGTTCTCTGTGTGGCAATGTTAAAATAGTCAAGCACAGTAAACCAACCTAAATTATTCAAATGCCACGCTGGTTTAACACGCTCTGAGACATCCATGTGACAGACTTATGCTTAATGCGATATAACACAAGCAGGTTATTCAAAATCACCTGTTCGCTGCTGTGGTTAAGAGCACATTCTCTTGCATGTACTGCCTGGACTTGAATTCTGACGGTACCATGCCCTGGCTTCTGACCTTGGCAAGTTCATCAGTGCCTCTAAGGCTCAGTATCTCTAACAGTAAGGTGGACATAACAGTTAATACCACTTCATAGGATTGCTGTCAAAATTAAACGAGAAAAGATATGCAAAGCCCTGAACACAATTCCTAGCACACTCGATAAAAGTGACTTGTTACTTTAAATACGTAAAAATGTGTGTCAAGAGAAAAAGACTGACAGAGACTGGCCCAGTTTCCAGCCCCAGGAAATATTGTGGGCGACTTGTTTCCTCTATTTTGTTTAGTATCATTTCCCCAAAACCTTTGAGGTCATAGGCAACACAGAAATTCAAGAAATAGGCAAAGCGCTCTGACCTGTCAGTTCATCCAACGGGACTCAAAATAATGGGCAGGTGCTGCTTTTTTCTTCCAGCGGTGTTTGGCCAGCGTTTGGATGAGACCGTGGCCTATGAGCAGAAATTTGGCCCCCACCTGGTGCCCATCCTCGTGGAGAAGTGTGCGGAGTTCATCCTCGAACATGGCCTGAATGAAGAGGGCATCTTCCGGCTGCCTGGGCAGGACAACCTGGTGAAGCAGCTCAGAGATGCGTTTGACGCAGGGGAGAGGCCCTCCTTTGACAGGTACGCTGCCTTCACCTCGCCCTCCCCTCTGCCTTAACTTGCGTAAGAGGACTTTTCTCTTCTAGTTGAACTATGGGACTCACACAGACGCTGCCAAGAGCCCTGGCTTGCAACAGAAAGAGCCTTTGTTTTGCTCATAGTTTAGAATGTGGGAGCCTGGGGCACAGTTAGGAGAGCATGGTGATCCATTACCTGAGAGAGGTGTGAGCTCCACGGAGAGCCTGCTGGGCAGACTCAGGAGACGTTTAGGATACAGGAGGAGGGGTGTATGGGGTAGAGGGAAAGATGAGTCCTAGTTCCAGGCCCAGCCTTCAGGGCAGATAAGGAACGTGGGGCTGAGTTGCCTGTACAACAGACTGGGTGTGGTGGAGAATGCGCCATGCCCAGATCCAAGGACTGCGATGGTCTCCCTCAGCTTTCCTGAAGCGACCAGAACTGGCCCTTGTTAGTGTGGGAGAGCACAGTCCTATCCAATTCTGAACTTAGTTCTGAGCCCTTCTGGAGGGAGTACACACCAACAGGTTGGCTGCCTGGTGTTTTCCCATGGATGTTGCCCAGCCCTGTTTGGGGCATATCTGGTGCAAGGACATTTCTCCCCACCATTCCCCTCCTTCCCCACCTCCTTCAGCCTCCCAGCTGAGGTTTTCTCGTCTGCCACGCTCAGCTAGGACAACCACCACCCTACATTGCACGCACTCTGCTTATTGTGCAATATTTGCCTTGGCTGCCTGCATGCACTTGTCCTGCTGGCAAGAAAAAGTCATTATTCTTTCCAAATCAGCAGCCCATAAACTAAGATTTAGCAATTAAGGCCTGAGCACTATCCTGTTTCCAAAGGTTGAAATTCTTCACAAGCTTATTGAGGATGGAGGAGCAGGGCTGATCCTGGGGAAGGGTGAATAGCTGGGTGTCATGCTGTGTGGATAGTCTCACGGCTCCCCTTTCCCTCTCCTGTCTCTCCAGTTCCCAGTGTTTCCATTCTGCCTCTGAAGCATCTCTAACACCCATCCATTTCCATTCTCACAGCCACTGTCTTAGTTTGGACCACCGTAGGCCTGTCTTTGCTGCCCTTGGCACGTAACAGGTTAGTGTAGCAAGGGTGCTATATTTTAATAGGAAAGCAATGGGGTGGAGTCGTTACTTGATTTATACCAGGTTATGGGCATGAAGTTTAAGGACCTTTTAGCATCACCGTAAATTGATTTTCATTACCAGGCACTCGTTCAATTAAGCTTGCCACCTTTATATTCACTTTTCTTCCTATGTTTTTAATTAGCTTTGAGTTGATCAAAAGATGCAGGTGGGTTGTTGAAAAAGCAATGTGAAGTGAGCCAGGAGGCATAGAGGTGATTTGGGTTGCCAAATACCTGCCCTAGCCTCCTGCGTGTATAAAATCAGCCTGGGTGGTAGAGCCAGAGTCTTTGATTCTTCTGAAATATTTGGATCTGGAAGGAGGAAAGTTATCACACATCTCCACTGCCAGAACTGAGGAGTTCCCACAGCCAGAAATAGGAAGGGTCCTTCAGGGTCTTCCCAGGACTGGTTCTTTGGGCCCACATGCGCCTTGCAGGTACTCATCTAGACCCCTACATTGGTCACATGTGCAGTTTCACTGTGCGTTCCCCAAAATTGCCTCTCTAGATGAAGGAAATCAAAGGAACTATGTTGGCAGATTCTAGTACAGGTGTGTCAAGCTCTCATTCAAGATAAAAACATGAATTTAAAAATCTCTTTGTCCAGCCTCTAGTAGGCTGGCTACTGCCTGATCACAGAGCTAGTACACTTCCAGTACCTATTGTCTCTGGGAGAAATGCACAGAGACATTCTGCGTTATAAGATCAGTGCTTCAAGGGAAGGTGGGCAGAGCTATGGGGAGCCCTGGCTCATCTCTGCTGGACCAGGGCTTGAACTCAGAAGCCACCTGGCTCCTGACTTGCTCTTAGTCTTTAATTTAAAACATTATTTAAGGATGTCCCATTGGGTTGGAGGAACAGTAAAATCAGGAAATATCATGCTGGAAATTTAGACTATAACAATGACATCCAAGTCAGCCCTGTCCCAATGGGGCACCAAAAGTTTACAGAAATAGCTATAATTTTCATTGTATTAAGTGCTAAAAATGAAAAAGAGATGGTACTGTGAGAATTTAGAACAGGGGTTTTTGACATGGTCTGGTGGATTTAGGAAGCTCCCCAAGAAAATGACATTTAAGCTGCGACACAATAAAGAAGCATGAAGAGTTAGCCAGGCGATGCAGCCTTATCTTCCCCAGGTGAAATGAATGGGCAGCGTTCAGTGCATTTCAGTGCTCTAGGATGATTTACATAGCTAACTGTGTTCTTTGATGCCAACTTTGAGGTATCTATATTGTATCTGTGGTTTATAACCCCTTTCTCTTCTAATGTTGGCTATTCAGGTTGTCTTAGTTTCTCCTGACTAAACTGTCTAGTAGATATTATTATTGTTTCTCTTCAAAAGACTCTGTTTTCTTGACATATCCTCCATGCTCTTTTTCTCATTCCAAATTCTTTGTTTTCTACATTCCTTCTGTGGGTGTGTTTTGAGTGCTTCGGGCTGTGCCAGGCCACACACAGTGCACTGGAGAATGGAACCCTGGAGGCAGGAGGCTAGATTTAGGAGGCTGAGCAGTCCTGCTGCGGGGGACGTGGGGGGAGGGAGGGGGAGACAAAAAAATATCCTCCCTCTGAAAAGTGGAGTGGAAAGAGGGGAGGGACTTGGAGATATCCATGTGACATTTGGATAGTAGAATTGAGGGGGCTTGGGAGACTAATTGGATGTGGGGTGAGAGAGACCCCAATCAATCCGTAGACCCTGGATTCTGATTAAGACCTGGGTGGACGGCGACATTAGGAGAATGCTACTCCTGCCCGGTGTGCGCTGGTTGATTTCCTGACACTTTCTTGGGAACTTCTTGTGTATTTTGCCAAAAGGGCTTTGCCTGGGAATATTTTTAGGCAATGACTCGGCAGGGAAGTCTCTTCCTGAAACCCCACCCCCTGACTTCCTGAGGTCCACCATGGCGCATAGACAGCCGTCTGGTCTGTGCAAGCGGAGGTACAGAGTTCACGGGCTGCAAAGGGGTTGCCTCCAACCACTGGCTGTCAAAAACAAGTGTTAAAAAATGTGCACACAGAGCCAAGACAGAGCTTTCTAGTTAAGACCTGGCATTCTTACTTCTGCCTCTAAGGCCTCCCTTCTCCTCCTCCTGTCCAACCCACCCCTCCTGTCTCTCACTACTAGGAGGTACTCCACCAGCAGATTCTATATTCCCAATTGCTGACTAAAGGAGACACTCAGATTATCTGAACCTCTTCCCACATCACAGCTTTCTAAATACTATCAGGGCTATCTCTTAAGAACATCAGTTTTTCTTGATATGAAATAAATCAATATTTCTTTACTAATGATCTTCCAGTATATGGTAGATTCAGATTTATTTTCTCTATGGAATAAATGCAACAGCTCTATAAACCAGGAGTCAGCAGATGTTTTAAAAGGGCCACATATGAAATATTTATGTGTTGTGGGCTTGATGGTCTCTGTGGCAACTACTCAACTCTGCTCTTATCTCAACTTGGCCAAAGACTATACAAAAATGAATGAGCATAGTGTGTTCCTATAGCACTTTATTTATGGGAGCTGAAATTCAAAATTTAGGTCATTTTCACATGCCATGAAATGTTCTTGAGTTATTTCTCCAACCATTAAAAAAAATGTAAAATCCATTCTTAGCTAGCTGGCTGTACAAATATAGGCAGCGGGCCGATTTGGCTCTGGGATCATGGTGTATCAACTCCTGCGGTAAACCAGAGAAGCTGAGCTGAAGAGCCCATGTCTCTTTCCGCTGATCAGGTGATCTAATGAATGTTGTCTCAGTTCCTGCAGCAGGTCTCCTCCCTCCCGCTCCAGGCTGATCCACATGCTGCCGGCCCCATGCTGTAACTCCTGGTCACTCTACAGATCTTGACGGAAGAGTCCCTTGTAGCTCCCCAACTCTGCATTAAGTGTCCCTTCCCACATTTCCATATGATCCCAGGTCCAGGACTTCCCTTGTCATGGTACTAAGCACACAGTATTGTAATGACTTGGTAACATTTAAGTGTGCACACCTCTGAGGTTCAATGAAGTGAGGTGTCCTGTGTGTCCCTTGGGTTCACTGCTGAAAGCCTAGTGCCTGACATAGTATCTTGCACCGAATAGTTTCTTTCAAAGCTTGTTGATTGAATAAATGATGGCACAAATATATGAATGAATCTCAGAATTATTTTAAGATCTGAGGGATCAAAAAGATCAAAGGACCATGGATATAAAGCAGTTATCACATGAAAAATGAGACACTAAGTACAGAATGCTAAATTGTGAGGTGCTAAGGGACTTGGAGGAAGAAGAAAGCAATGAAGATTAAACTGTTGAAGGATTAATGAAAAAGTAGACCTTGAACTTGCCTTTGATGCAGTTAGGCAGAAAAGATAAAGGAAAAGGTGTTGGGAGGATTATTCCATAAAAGGAATTAGCAAAAATGTTTTGGTCAATATACCTTTATCAGACTCTACTCCTCTGCAAAGCTTCCCTTTGGAACCTGGGTTCTAATCAGTGGATCACCAGGGGGGAGCTGAGGAGACTTCTGGAGTTTTGCTTTCAAAGGGTGTTGCTTATTTTCTTCCAGAGATACAGATGTGCACACGGTGGCCTCCCTATTAAAGCTCTACCTCCGAGATCTCCCAGAGCCTGTGGTTCCCTGGAGCCAGTATGAGGGATTCCTGCTCTGTGGGCAACTCATGAATGCAGATGAGGCAAAGGTTGGTATCTCATTAGAGTTAGGTGTCCTGCTTGGAAAGAAGGTGATGGCTA